GGACACGAAAGGTTCAGTAGACTGTTTGCTTTAAACGATTGGTTATTGTCATGGTGTAAAGAACAGAAACTGCTCTTTGTTAATAATTGGAATCTTTTCTGGGAGCGACCTAGGCTTTTTCGCGCTGATGGCCTGCACCCCAGCAGAGTCGGAGCGTATTATCTGGTGATATATCATAATAATATGATACATTATTTGGTGTACTCTGCTTGACTGAAACCTGGCTCAAACCAAATGACTATATTGGTCTAATTGAGTCTACTCCACCAAGCTACTGTTATACGTATGAGCCTGTCAGATTGGTCATGGCGGAGGTGTTGCAACAATAGTGATATTCTCAGTGTTACTCAGAAAACAGGATACAGGTTTAACTCATTTGAAATACTTCTTCTTAATGTTACACCGTCAGATAAACAAAAGAAATCTCTCCTATCTCTTGCTCTGGCTACTGTGTATAGACCGCCAGGGCTGTATACAGATTTCCTAAAAGAATTTGCAGATTTCCTCTCAGAACTATTGGTTAATGTTGACAAAGCGCTAATTGTCGAAGACTTTAACATTCATGTTGAAAATATAAATGATGTGTTAGGACTTAATTAACTCTTTTGGAGTCAAGCAAAACATAACCAGACCCACTCATCGTTTTAATCGTACACTAGATTTAATTATATCGCATGGAATTGATCTTAATGATATAGATATAGTACCTCAAAGTGATGATGTTACTGACCACTACCTTGTATCATGCATGCTGCCTATTGCTGATAATAACTATATCGCTCCGCGCTATCGTCCGGGTAGAAGTATTGTTCCAACCACCAAAGATAGATTCACAGATAAACTGCCTGATTAATCTCAACTGCTCTCTGTACCCATAAATACACATGAACTGGATGAAATGACTAGCAATATTGGCACTATCTTTTCTAATACATTAGAAGCTGTTGCCCCCATCAAATTAAAAAAGGTTAGAGAAAAACGTACTGCGCCATGGTACAACATCAATACCTATTCTCTCAAGAAAGAAACTCGTAATCTTGAACGCAAATGGAGAAAAACTAACTTGGAAGTTTTTAGAATTCCGTGGAAAAACAGTATGTCCAGTTATAGACAGGCCCTAAAAGCTGCCAGGGCCGAGCATATCCACAAACTCATAGAAAATAACCAAAACAATCCAAGGTTTTTATTTAGCACAGTGGCTAGATTAACAAATAACCAGACGCCACACGATCTAAATATTCCCTCACAGTTTAATAGTAATGAATTTATGAATTTCTTCACTGATAAAATAGATAACATCAGAAATACAATAACAAATGTAGATTCTACAGCGTAACTATAGGACAGGAAGATCTAAATAACCTTATCACTGCATCCAAACCAACAACATGTTTATTAGATCCTGTACCCATAAATTACTGAAAGAGTTGTTACCTGTAGCAGAAGAACCGCTTCTCAATATTATTAACTCGTCGTTATGTCTAGGTCACTTCCCAAAACCATTTAAGCTGGCGGTTATTAAGCCTCTTATTAATAAACCACAACTAGATCCCAGTGAACTGGCAAATTACAGACCCATTTCAAATCTTCCGTTTATGTCTAAAATTTTAGAAAAAGTTGTATCTGTTCAATTGTGCTCCTTCCTGCAAAAAAATGATATCTAGGAAGAATTTCAGCTTTAAGATGGTTTAGATCCTACCTTTCCGATCGCTATCACTTTGTCTATTTAAACGGGGAATCATCTCAATTAAATCCAGTAAAGTATGGAGTGCCACAAGGATCTGTCCCAGGTCCTCTGCTATTTTGGATATACATGTTGCCCCTTGGTAATATTATTATAAAATACGGGATTAGTTTTCATTGTTATGCTGATGACACTCAACTATATATTTCAATAAGAACAGATGAAACTTCTAAATTATCTAAGCTAACCGAGTGTGTTAAAATGTAAAAGACTGGATGACCAATAATTTTCTCCTATTAAATTCGGATAAGACAGAGATATTACTTATTGGACCAAAAAACAATACAGAGAATCTCGTAGATTACAATTTGCATCAGATGTACTGTTACTTCCTCTACAGTCAAAAACTTGGGTGTTATATTAGACAGCAACTTGTCTTTTGAAAATCATATTTCCAATGTTACAAAAACAGCATTCTTCCATCATAGAAACATTGCCAAGTTACGAAACATGTTACCTGTTTCTGATGCAGAAAAGCTAGTTCATGCATTCATGACCTCTATTCTCTGCAATGGCTACCTATTAAGTTCCATATCAGTTACACAATATTACTACTTACTTTTAAGGCCCTAAATGGTTTAGCTCCTGCCTACCTAATTAGTCTTCTATCACGCTACAATCCATCACGCTCCTTAAGGTCGAAAAACTCTGGACTCTTGGTAGTTCCTAGGACAGCAAAGTCCACTAAAGGAGGTAGAGCTTTTTCACATTTGGCTACCAACCTCTGGAATAGCCTTCCTGATAATGTTTGGGGTTCAGACACACTCTCTCTGTTTAAATCTAGATTAAAGACACATCTCTTTAGCCAAGCATTCACATAATGCATCTTATAACCCTGTACCTCAGATACATCCGATCACATGCACATTAACATTCTTTTGCTTGGGATGAACACATAATTTTTTGCTGAGATTGGCATCCCGTGGTAACTAGGAATTACACAAGCTTCAGTCTGGATCCAGCCCTTACAAAGACCTGAGATGACCGAAACACCTGAGAAGAGATGATGCCAACCCCTCAGAAGACCTCAGATGATGCCAACCCTCAGACAACATACAAAACTACTAAATTTTGCTATAAGTTTGATCACAACATGTAATCATTGCTGTTAATAGTGTTCACTGTCTGTTTGATTACATGACATTAACTAACTGCTTGATTTTTACCGTAATTTCTGCCATATGGCCATCAATTTGAGATGGTCACCACTGATAAGCTATTACTAAATATAATGTAGAAACTTTAATTTTCTGTAAAGCTGCTTTACAACAATTTGCATTGTGAAAAGCACTATACAAATAAACTTGAACTGAATTGAATTGAATTAATAATTCTCTCTCTTTCTCAGTGATATTGCAAGCCTGGCCATAGTGAACCTCACAGAGACATTTGTTCCAGTGCAGCATGGCACACATAAAATTCTGGCATCCCTCGACTGTCCCCAACTTAGTCAAAGTGCATGGAGTTGCCAACATTATGGTTAAAAGCAGTAATAAAGAATTACCTGAAGAGAATAAATGGCTGTTTCTTTGAACTGTAAACTTGTTCATAATGACCTTAGAGACACAGTTTTTTCATCTTGTTGTGAAAGAAAAACTTTAATTAAAATCCTTTGAAAACTCAACTATTTGTGGTTGTTTTATGGTGGATATTCTTCATTTAGCTTTATTGTTAATTGCTGCCTCAGCATTACGAAAAATATTAATAATTGAATCACTTTGATGTGCGGTTATAAGTCTATAACACTTGTAACTTGTAGTACTTTAGGAAATTTGGACCAACCAAAACTAATATTCAAGAGGGAGTGGGTGAATTGTGAAACATTAATTTTAAAAGTTATGCCTACTACATGCTGCAATAACACTCAAATGATAATAAACATATAAACATATAAACACACCCATCTCTGTGTCATTATTTATAGTAGGTGTATATAGACAGTGGATTGGCCTGTGTGTGCAAGTATATTTATGTAGGGATTTCTAGTACATGAACGGACACTGATATGCCCCTATCAGCCATCATGAGGTCTGGATTAATCTAATCAAGAAATACCACAGAGATCTTTTGTATGAGGACTACAACTTATAGCTTCCTCGTGATGTCTTGTGACCACCAATGAATGTAACTATTATATCCAAACAGGAAAAGGACAGTAATTTAATCACACCCTCAGGCCTGCCACCACGGGACCTATACGTGACTAACACATGATTCCCATCACATCCTGCATTCCAACAGAACGAAGAACATGGTATCTGAGATGTGTTCCAGCGACAGACTCGCCTGGACCCCATGACCGTCTAATGCATAAATTGCTAAATCCGATAAACAGAAAGCGACAGATTAAGTACTACGTCCCAGGAAAAGCGTGCGTTTCTCCTGTCACAGACAAAGGGACGCGAAACTTACAACAGACAATTTCAACAGAAAATCAGCGTAACAGGGCAACCAGATTCACAAATAATATGTTGTATGTCTTATATAAATTAAGTAATCAAAGACATTACATTTATATAGAAGCGTAAGGCTCTGATTTTCAGTCATTTACATCCAAATTCACGTCCAAAGACCTGAGACTACATTTAAATTCTGAGTTTCAAAATCAAATTAAAACCTAGTAAAAAATTAATAGTTTGCATTTTTTAAGCAAAATATAAGAAAATGAGTGGCATTGAACCTTGTACAGACAGTCACATGTTCTTCCTCTGAACGTCTGAAATCATGAAGAAGAACATAATTATCTAGTTTTATTCATGTCAGCTTCAGTGCTGCTGTCAATAAATAAATAAATAAATAAATAAAGACAACCAAATACTAAGACATTCTGTGGACACTTTTTAAATTCGATATTTACTCAAACTGTTATGCTGATCATATAATTTGCAAAAGATCTGTATTAAGTTTAAACTTATAAGTGTTAAATTAAGTTACTTTTACTTACGCCACTTTGAGTAAAAAAACGAATTGAAATCATTAAAAAAGTACGTTTTATTTAGACATATCCAACAGTAGCGAACACACCTATAAAATAACTCATGGTCCATTCTCTACAGATCAAAAGTCTAGACTTTTATTTTGTAAGATGTACACACACACACACAGGTTTGTTTTTGTGAAAAGTGGGGACATCCCATAGGCGTAATGGTTTTTCTAAACTATTTCATGCTGTTAAAGTCAAGACTCTGAAAAACACAAGTTTAATGTTTATGTATCCATTACAAGCTGATGTGTGAGTCTACTGTCTGCTGGAAAAATGAGTGGTGAGCTATAACAAATAAGGAAACTGGTTTTGTATAAATCACACCCCACATTGTAGTGGGCTTACATTACAGATCTGCATGATGAGAGTATCTGTTCACAGAATTTAATCCATCACTAACATCATTATTTTTCTTACCAGCAATTCTTTTCACTGCATACATTTTTACTTTTGTAACTCATCATAGTAATACTTAACTCAAACAATTAAGTACTAGTACTTTTACCTGGACACATTTTTTGGTCTCAACATGTCTTTCTGAAGTCATTCCTCTCAACAGTATCTGTTGACAATAGAACCTGTTATAGTTGAACAATGAACAAATATTTTACATGAAGTGACTCAAAAATTAGTGCATATTAAAAAAATTAAAATGCGGACAGAGGAAGATGAATTATACAATAACTAATTACAGTATAGGACTAATACACACCCAGTGCATTAACACTTACTATGCAAACCTGAAATGGATATGGTAATGATAGCTCATATGTTCAGTTAGCAGTTCAAGACGAGTGAAGCTGCTCTATTGCCCTAATTAATGCCACGTATAACACTGTCTCACCAAATGTGTCATATTAAATTTTTTATTGTTGCTATGCATTTTGTTAAATATTTGAAACCTGGAAACTGCATGACAATTGCAAAGCAATGAACTGTATGTGCCCTGAAAAAACAAGGTACACTAGTTAAAAAAATAGGCTATGACTGTTTTGCAAAAGAAACATTGGGTAACACTTTATTTCGATAGTCCACTTTAGACATTCTATTAACAGTAAGTAACTTTGCAACTACATGTCAACTAGCAGTTAGTAGAGTATTAGTAGACTGTCTGCTTAATATCTTCTAACACTTTCTTTGTCAACTTATTCTACTAACTGTGAGGAGCTGAACCAGCATTTCTACCATCACTGGAATCTCTTGTTCTTCTCTGTGTTTAACAGGTCACATCCCATCCATCCGGGACGGCACTTATGTGATCGTTCCAATAGTGGAAGAATTCAAGAAAGGCTGCTGGGGGGCAAAGATTGTGGAACAAGGACAAAACCGAATCAAACTGTGTGTGCACTCTGTTCCGACTGCTTGCGTTGGACGATACCAGCTCAGTGTCGTGACACACTGTCCAGGAGGCAGATTCACTTTACCTTATGTTCCTGAAAATGACATTTACATGCTGTTCAACCCCTGGTGTAAAGGTATGTGTTTCATTACTCTTTAACATAAACATGAACCTGAATATATATTTAAAGTCCAATGTTCTCTTTATCAGATGACTGTGTGTACCTGAGTGATGAGGCGGAGAGAGCTGGGTATGTGCTGAATGACATGGGCAGAATCTACTATGGAACTAAGCAGCAGATTGCTTGCAAAACATGGAACTTTGGTCAAGTAAGAGCCAAACTTTCACTCATATATTACAAAAGTGCCTACACATGAGTTAACAGTATATCAGAGAGATGTTGGTAATCCACCGATTTCAGTGGGAGTAGTTGTGCGTCACAGGAAAACGGCAGAAACAACGAAACTGTTTCTAGTGTGTAAGTAATACTATAAGTAATAAGGGTGTGCATTTAAAGTGTTGGAATCTATTGGGGTTGCTGCTGGAAATCTTTTCACATTTCATTTTTCTTGAAGCATCTGAAATAAAATTCTACAGAACAAGATCTACTGTATAACATTTCCATGCACAAGATAGCATGACAAATTTTTTACATTTCCAACTTTCTCACTCCTCTGTCTGATTCTAAGTTTGAGAAGGGAATCTTGCCTGCATGTATGTATGTGCTGGAGAAGAGCTGTACACCTTGCTCAGGGTGGGGAAGCCCCAGTAACATTTCCAGAGTGGTATCTGACACGGTGAGTCTTCATTTCCTTCTTATCAACACCCTGATTTCATGTTGGAAAGCCTTTAAAATGGTCACATTTGTTCTTTTCTGAATGTGGTATTTCTGCACGAAGTTTTCTGCATTCAAATTAAAATAGCTTTAATCGTCTGTCCTTATCAGGTTATTGCTAACAAAGACTGTGGTGTGTTGGTGGGTAACTGGTCAAACTTCTATGGAGATGGAACTGCTCCTACATCCTGGTGCAGCAGCAGTGCCATCCTGAAACAGTACTACAAGTGTGGAGGAATACCTGTCAAATATGGACAGAGCTTGGCCTTTGCTGGAGTCACCAACACACGTAAGTGTTCCTGCAGACTGGACGAGCAGAAAAAGTTTTGAAAGAGTGATTATAGATGTAATGCACTTATATTCTTCTTCACTTTCTTGTAGTGTTGAGGTGTTTGGGCATTCCTGCTCGTCCAGTTTCAAACTTCTGTTCTGCTCATGACACTGATGTTTGTTTGACAACTGATGTCTACTTGGATGAGAAATTTCAGCTGATCGATCACATGAACCGTGATTCAATCTGGTAAGTATCATTACCATTTATAATGTCACCAAGAGTTCCTCTGAATGTCCATGAAGTGTTTCTAGTTCTTTCTTCTTCTCTTCCATGTAGGAACTACCATGTGTGGAATGAGGCCTGGATGACTCGGTCAGATCTGCCATCTGGTTTCGGAGGTTGGCAGGAAGAGAAAACTAGAGCTGCACGTAAAAATCTATTCATATATGAATCGTGATTCTGTCTTCTAACGATTCTAATGGATCCACAAGTTTCAAAATCAATGTTCTAAAGCAGCGGTTCTCAATCCTGTTCCTCGCTTCCCCCTGCTCTGCACACGCTCTGAATCTCTCTTTCTCTCTCGTTCAGCTCAGCTCCAGCAATGAACTGTTACAATTATACACTTATTTTCACATAGCTATGAGAAGCGTTAAACATGGACGTGCTTGCAGTTGCCGTACTATATTAAAGCTTTAATCAGGATAAAACTGTATATTAAAAGCTAACATAAGCAGTAGCATTTACAAATAA